TATATATATATATAACTATTGTAGTTACAGTACCCAAAATTATACAATTTAAGTGTGATTAAATATGTTAATAATGAAAGATGTTCCAGTGTCTGCCTGGGCTATAGGACAAAAGTTTATTTTAAAACACTGGCCTTGTGGACTGGTCTCTTTGTGCGCTCCAGAAACTGTAGATGTAATATTTAAATATTTAAATATATGAAAATGTTATTTCTAATTCACAAGAAGAGACTATAAAGTCTACTTTATAATTCTATTCCATCTGTCACTAGCTCCCCCGTCGCACTTGCGGCACAAACCGAGTGGATGGCGCTGCACCTGCGCTTTTCTCCCACCTGAGAATTAGTCTCGCGTGCCAAACCACTCCAACATCGCAAAATAAATATATAACGGCCTCCTAATAAATACTGTATCAGGACGTACAACCGTGGAAACAAACCCTTTAAGCGCCTCAGATCCTTAACACTGCACGTTCCACTTCTGCCTGTTTCTGTCTGCGCTGACATCTAGTGCACAACTGCACTGAATCATATTCTCATTCAAAAGCGCAAAAACAACTGAGGGAAATAGACAGAGGGAAATGCGGGCATGCAACCACGGGAAGGGACAGAAAGAAAAGAAGAAGAGAGTAAAACACACACACACACACACACACACACATTAAATGGACGTTTCCTGAGACATGCTGAGATAATAAGGTGTGTTTGTGGCTGTAGCTTGTCTTCATGGCTGTGATTATAAGTTCATGAAGTTGCACGATTTCGCACGCGCTGCCGATTTTTGTCAGACTGTGGCATTTTCGTTCGCGCCCTCTAATTAAGGAGCCTTCGTCAGCTGATCCAAGCTTTGTGGGCAAAATAGCCACAATTGCGGTGAAACATTTACTTCAAACCAATAAATAAATATGGCTTCGTGTAAACAGGTGGAGTAGCAGTCTGTATTGTATTTTAACGCTTTAATATCTGTAATGATAATAGTCCTAATAAAATCGACAACAACACTAAAAATGTAAAGTTTACATTATTTATAGATCCATAAACATAAAATGTATGCTTCTAAGAGCATTGAAAAAATATTCATGCGCTTTAAAACATATTGGACACTTCATAAAAAAGTTAAGACCGGCAAACTTTTCAGTGCCCCATGCAAAGGCAATTCCATAAAAGAGAAAGAGGCAGAACCTCTGTCCTCTGTTAACGGGGACACGCGCACAATGTCAGCACGCATTACGCGCATTCAACGCGTGTCTTCTCGCCCGGTATGTGGCGCCGCAGCTGTGCGAACTTCACCCGCGTGCTCTGGGGGACGAGCAACTCACAGCAGATGTTACTGCGTCTCCCACCAGTTTCACACGAAACAGAAAAAGGAGAGGAGAGAGAGAAACGACAGTCTCGTGTGTCCTCTGCGGGGTCATTATTAACAGCTTAATTAATTTGAGATCCGCTCTGCGAATACCAGCTCAAACCACCGGCACCTTTCACGAGATGAAAAAATGCGC